GTCCGTTTGTCCGCCTCGTCCTTATCTCACCTAGCCAGCCGAGAAAGACTACCGCGGCCTTCCCGCAGCTATATGCTCGTCGTTCTCCTCGCCCCTCTCATCGGCCGATCTCCCTCGCACTCCCGTCCTTCTCGCTGTTGCACTCTCGCTCCTTCTATCTGTCTATCTCTTCCAATCTTCCCCCCATCTCTTTCTCTTTCTCCTTCTCGATCCGCCTCGCCGCAGCATCCGTTGCACCGCGCCGCGCGTTGGAGGTAACACGGTCCAGCTGCTTCCCTCTCGCTCGTTCGTGCGCTCGTTCCTCTCCGTCATTCCAGCTGTTTCGTTTCTTACTTTGTCCCTCACCGTCTATTCGCCTTGCACTCGTCTCTCTTCCCCACCATCCAGTTACAACCTGCTTCTCTCGCGAGGAGCCGCGATTCTCCCGCGACTGAAGAGACGACACACGTATGCGCACTCCCTCTCCTTTTGGTTCCATACAACAGCTCTCCTTCTCATCCAGCGGTATTTTATGCAGATCCGCGGCACGAAATTCCGTTTCGTTCTACAATACAGTTCTTTAAAAAAAATCATATGGGATTGTCTGTGAACTTCAGTTCGAATTTGCGGAAAATTTGGAAACATTAATTCTTCATCATCGCGAGCAAAGAGAAAAGAAAAAAAGGTGATTAAACTATAACGTAGAACTGGAACATTCGTCACATTATCGTGCTAATGATCGCGTCATCTTAAGATAATCAAATAATTGATATTAAGAATGAAATAAATCGAGGAGAATCTGTGATATTTTAATAGTATCCTTAAATTGATTTTCTCTCCGAGAGTTTGTAACTCGGAAAGCAAAGCGAAATTGTTAGCAATAATTTTAAACGTTTGTTCTTAATCTTTTCTACAATAATATTTTCCATAATAAGCAAACATAATAAAAGAAGGATAAAATCATAATTATGATACACGGTACACATGTATAAACTTCTACACATCTTCGAAATAAGTTCAATAAATTATAAGGTAATTCTAGAAAATAACTTTATCTTAAATTAGAGAGAAAACTCTTAAAAAATAGCATTTAAAAAGTAATCAAATTTTAATGATCGGTGAACTAGCTTTAGAAATGATGTTGACTGTAAAACACAGTATGGTGTAACGTTAACGATGATTCGTGTAAGTATAGCAGTCAGCCACATCGTAAACGTAATCGAGGAAAGTACTACCACATCATATACCAGAATACTTTATTGCCTGCGTATTTTTTTTTTCGCGCGCTTTGCTATACCAATCGACTAGTACAGGTGCGGCTCTGAATAAACGTAGATTAAATCGCGATCATAGCAGTAGAATTTGAATCTGCAAACAGTAATATGATCACAAAAATTACGAAACATTATAATAAATTTATCTTTTATTTTGCAGATTGTTTCTAAAGAGAATTACAATTATTGCGATTACATATCTGTGATATTTTTCTGTAGATATTTTTCTGTTGTTTCAAAGTAATGTAAAATTTTTTACAATCTAAGATTCTTCCGTTGTTTTATTATATCTCGCTAATAAGTTGATTAACTTGCTAATAACTTGCTATTATTACATAATTCAATCTGATAGATACTTAATCTGTATATTAATTAACGTAATTTTGCTTTGGAAGAAAATAGAATATATATTTGTGTTAATGAATTTGGTTTCTTTACTTTGCCTTATAAAAATTCAAAAATATAACATAAACATTCTAGCCGATAAGATATATATTTCTTTAAAAAGATATAATAAAACATTAGATTTTTTATTTTATTAAAATAATTATTATGAATCGTTAAACAACTTACAATAGTATAACAATTTTTAATGTTAAACGAATTATAAGCGAGTGCAAAACGCATCCTCCAGTGACTTTAATGCCTGATTGTATCAGTGATTTCAATACGTAAGACGATTCACTGGTTCGGAAACGCATTCTTTGTTACTTTAAACATGATCATAAACGTGATCATATTACTAAAAACAGAAACATTTAATTTATTTTGAATGATAAAAATTGATTGTCATTCGTGACTTTCTACATTAACAATTCGTTTTTCTTGTTATTTTATTTCGCAGAAAGGCTGGCTACTTTATTCTTTCACTTCAGTTGATCGTTACACTAATGTTCCTAAATTGATTCATACGCGATTCGTTAGAAAAATCAACAGAGAAGTTTCTGTAAGATATGTGAATATCCTATCATCGTGTTAGTCGCATCGCATTTCCGATCTTCGCAATTCTCTCGTTCATCTTAAGACAAGACAAATCATGCGCTGTTTTCCATCTTCGCGTCTTCGCGTAGAATAATGCCGGAGAAGACCCTGTTGTGCGGAGTAGGAGGTCCTGATCGGCGACCAATAGAAAGAGCCGCCACCCACGAAGTAATAAAAATTAATTTATCACACGGATCACCGCCTACGCCATTGCTCCGTTCACGCACGCAAGACTCTGCAGCATCCCGCGGATAGCGCCACTTGTCGGGTATTTCTTTCACTTCATCTTTCTCAGTATGGATGCGGGCAGATTAACAAACGATATTGTTAATGCAATTCACATATTGATATTGAAGACATATTTAATTTTGAATAAAAATTAATTAAATTTTTTCTATGAAACTATATATTACTTATCTGTAATAATGATAATTACTAATGATAATATAATTTATTTATATTAATATGATAATCATTAATAATATTTTTAAATAATACATCCAATTATGCGTATATAACTGTTATGCTTTAGACAATTCGTTTATGTATCACGTATTTTGTACGGCATATAAATATTATGCATATATAAATTTTATATATTGTTCTGAAAATATAAAGAGATTATAAATTACGAATTAAATAGAAAGACAAAAAATATCTTATCTTAATGTAAAAAATATCTTATCTTTGCAATTTTCTATATCGAGGTAGGCTTGATGTAATGATTTGTGATAATTTCGATTCCATTTCTCGAATTAGCGTACACTTTTAATTAACAAATTATAATTTTAAAATATTTACAAATAATCTTTAAATGTTAGAAGTTTCTTTGATTTATTGGATCCATCATTTAAATTGAAGAATGAAATAATTTAATCTAAGAGTCGGCAGGAGAGACTATGGAGATCTCTCTCGGAAATGAATTCCTTTTCACCCATATTACGACCAAAATACTGCGAGAAAAGCTATATAATTATGATATTTATAATCAGAATATTTGCCTGACGAAAGCTACAGAGAGATTTTTGTAAGAAAATGTGTGAAAATAAATAATTCATTTTATGCGTAAATAGATTTGCACTATAGGACAATGAGGTGCAAATATTTTCATCTATTGTAAATTTTTTTAAGAGCCAAATTGCAAAATCCCGCTCTGTAGTAAGAGTGATAATTTTATAAAAAATACGTAGAAAAAGGCTCATGGCAGAATATTGCTTCTACGAGATGATATATGAGTATACTCAAATATATATCTGCACTGTAAATAAGGAGTAGTTACATTTATTTTAGAGCTAAATTGCAAAATTGGCTCTGTAGGTAATTGTAAATTATCTTAGCAAAGTTTCATGACGAAACATCGTTTTTATAAGACAAAATATAATTGAATACATATCTGCACTGTAAATAAGGAATAATAGCAGAATGATGAAGAGTTGCAGACGTATTCAAGATGGCAGCACATTCCAGTAAAGATTTGGATACATCAGTAATCTTTATTTCGAAAATGTTTTTATATTTAGATTAAGATATTTTGAGATTTTTGCATTATTTATGCCACGATATATAAAATGTAAGTCAATATACACATTTTTAAATATTTTTAATTAATTAAACTTAAATGAAAATTATCGACAGTCATAAGGAAGAGGACAGATGACAAAACCTCCAAGAGAATGCGTTCTAATATAAACAATTAAAACGAGCTTTTCAGTAAGAGATACAAGTTGACACAGAAGTCATTCTATCTTTAGTAAATATATAATATATAATAGTATAACACAATAAAATCGTCATTTAAATTTCATTTTTTTTTAATTTCAAAGTTTTTTGATATTTGATTTTCATAAAAAGAGTGAAAAAGACATATTTGACAAATTTTGAATTACAAACTATTTTTTACTATAATTTAAATTATATAAGAAAATAATTTGTATTTTTAATTAATTAAAGCAAAAAATATGATAAATATGCAGCCATAAATTATTATTAAATATTATTATCATTTTCTAATTTATCAACGTCAAAGCTTTGAAAATAAAAAAAATCGGGAGCGACAATTTTCCTTTTTAAGATATATTCTAAAAATATAAATTTAAGAAAATTAGGAAAATCAGAGAAGAGATCTTATGCCCCATATTTATTGAATTGGACATAATTCACTTATTGTGGTGCATAGAACAGACCGCGTACGTCCGTATGAACGGACCCAAACTTTGGCAGGCCTGCCAGAGACCCATCAACCTCCTCGCGATGCTGCATCGTCGAGCAGGCTGGCGGATTGTTTTTGTGTGGCGGCTGTCGTGAGATTTCGGACGTGAGGCATGCCGCATTTGTGACGATCGACGATAATCACGGTGGACTGAGAGAATCCCGTCTCCGGAATGTGCGATAACTTTTGGGAACCCTTGGCCGAGATCTACATCGCGGATCGGGAGTCCTCCGATCCCGATGATTACATTTACTGTCTTTGCAGCCGAATATTTATCCGGTAAGCGTGCCTGATCGCACCTACCACCTCCTCACGATGGTTCGTTGATCCTCGAAAAAAAAAATATCCAGTGTGTGCCGCATTCGTTAGGCATGCAAAATGCTATGAAGAACCAACACGCTTATTGATCAGCGTCAGTATGAAATGTGATTTAACCTTGACACTCGTCTATCATCGATAGATCGCGATGAATTTCGTGGACTTATCGAAATTTTCACTATTTATTTTACCACGATGAATAATTAAAATTTCGAAATTGGAACAATATTTTCTATTTTAAACTCCTTTCTCCCACGACACCAGTATGACGCATGGTTGTTATAATTTGTCGAAATAGAAATGGAATATTAAAAAGTAATTTTCATAAAAAAATAATTTTTATATTTTAATATGATAAGAAATGGAAATATAATGAAAACTATTTGGAAGTAGATACTCTTGTCGACTTGTTATTTGTATTAATACTTGTAAATAAAATTATCTATTTTTCTTAAGTTCTTAAAACAAAGAAAACTCATTGATGTACAATCATAATTCTAATAAGAATTCAAATCTGGAGTAGAATAAATTTTTTGTTATCTGTTTATTATCTATTTTTATTTTTTCATTTTTAGAATTAATTTCTAGTCAACAAGTTATTGTTGTATTTAGAATTTTTTTAATTTCTATGCCATTATTCTTTCTAGGAATCCTGAGATTTATACTGTCTTAGCTTCAGAAGATGCTAGCGAAGGAGAAGATGGTGACAGGGATTATGTCGGGGAAATGGTAGATCTTTGCAAGGGATCTGGAGTAGAGACACAATCTATAGAAAAGCATGATGTATGATATATTTGACATATGTTACAGCCTATATAAAATATTAATATTATTATTTGATGATTACTTGTTAATTGTTTGATGTAGGAAGAACCAGTAAGCTGTTATTGTAGCGCCTCTCACACAGATAATAATTATTCTACGGACGAACATGACTCCGTACGCGATTCGGCTCACTGGCCCACTGCACATTCCTTGACTCAGAAATTAGGTCTACACCAATCGGATTCTGGTGCAGATTTATCTGAATATCATGATCAACATGAAGCAAAAAGTATACAGAATCTTGTAGCATCTTATGGAAAAACTTTCCAAACTATAGAGACTGAGGTTGAAAACAATTGTGAAAATGTAGAATTACTGGCAGAGTATAAACATACAGGTAATTGTGTAATTGAAATCTTAAGAATATTGTTTCAAATTAAAATTTGTTTAGTAAAAGATATGTTATATTGATTTTACAATTTTTAGATGACAAGGAGTCAATGGTACAAAACTTATCAGATAGTACCGCTGTATTAAATACAGAAGGATACAACAAAGATCTCATTACACAATATGATTATGATTCTTACGCTTATCCCTGTTCTACAGATTATGGAAATAATAAGAGTGCAATGGACATAGCATGGGGCAAATTTTGGGCTAAACATGGAGAGCAATTAATCTGGGCATCCTGGATCGAAAAATACGCAGATTATATCAATCCTGATTATTTTCAAAATAATGCACGCACAATAGAAGACGAAAAATTACAGGATGCAGAGATTAATGAAATAGCCATAGAAAGATATTTCGAACAAAATACGTGTTTCCCGACGCAAGCACATAAGAATTGCGAACTTGTACGTTCTAACTTTGCAGGGATTTTCAACAAAAGTTATTCAAGCGACAGCGAATTAAAGCCAGCAGCAATATCTTCCTCGAACACTAGCTTCTCGTTTGAACAGATGAATAGACAAGAGGTTAATGACAAAGATGCGGATGAAAATAGGAAAAAAATTATCAGTTTTGAGATATCAGAAGACGGTGATGGTTGGAATCCCTTAAGTCCACTCAGTATAGAAGAAAATTATGTTCACCATTCTAATGCAGAAGACGAAAGATTATTAACGAGATGTGACTCCATTAGTGGTTCGATAGCAAAAACAAATGCAACTTCCGATTCCATGACTAATGTTACTAAAATGACATTAACTAGTTCCAGTTGTGATTCCAATTCTGTTCATTCGTCTAGTCTCATCACTTCCGTTACGAGTTCTATAGAAAGCAGTATGACTAGTAGTAGTTCCGATCAAGAAAACGAATTTTCAGTAGAAGATAACGATAAATATTGGCAACATCTGTGGAAGGAAAATTTTGAAACGCAATATCAAAGACAGTACGAATTATTCATAGCAAATTATAAAAAGGAACATTTAAAACGGAACAATTTAAATCAGGATTATTTGTATTTTAACACGTTGAATGAACCAATTGGGGATTCAATTGTACTTCAACAAGATGAAGAGGTAACACTTCAAGAAGAGAAGAATAACGAAGAAGTTTCAAAGATCGATATTTGTGAAAATCAAAGAAATGAGAACACAGATGCTGTACAAATTAATTCAACTATATCAAATAAAATAAATTCATCTGGAAATAAAAACTCGAGAAGGAACAATGCCAAGTCTAAGTCGAAGACACAGAGGCTAATTATGGATTCAGTAGGCGTACTTATAAAGAATTTAACAATAAGAGTAGAAAAAATGAAACCTGCTGATGTTACTGAGGAAGAAGAAATGCGAGAAGAACCGGAACAAATTCATGCTCAAGCTTTGATAGTTACTGAAACCAAAATGGAAACAGTGGCTTCCAGTAGCAATTTTAATAATAATCATCAACAAAAGTCTTCTGATGGAGGAGACGAATTTCATGAAGAGGTTCCAGAAATTCATAGACAAAGGTAAATAACATAATAGATAATTAAAGATATTTTAGTAAACTAAATAACAATAATCTATATTCTCTGTCATGTAAAATGCCATCCAAAATTAAACAAAATGTCATTTTATTACATAACAAATAGAAGAATAAAATTAGAATAAAATTATTTTATAGAATAAATTTATATAATTTTTTTCTTCTATATCTAGTTATGAGGCTGATTATAAGGATAATGGAAATGGTTTAGAAACCGTGAAAAAAGCCTTCTCATTGATGGGTTATGCTAGCTTAAGTGAGGATGAAAGCCAAAGAAAATTGCAAGGCGAAGTTGTTTATCGGAAGCGTAATATCAGGCGACAAAGTTTTCAATTGATGGCGGAACTTAAGCGATTGAAGACTATGTATAAAACCACTCTTGATGATGCAGAAATTGGCAAATATACAAATAAGGTAAGATTTATTGCTTTGTCTATCTAATGAGTGATCTGATCTTTATGCTTTGATATGAAACAAACTTTAGTTCTGTCGTATATTTTTAAATATTCTCTAGCTTTAGGAATATATTGTTACATATATTTAGTCAAGGGCAAAAAAGGAGGCTTACAATTTTATAAATATTCAATATCTTATATTTAAGGATCAATTTTGTTCTTTATAACTGTAGCTATTTCATTATGTTTGTTCTTTATAGCTGAATTATATTATGGCTATTATATATTTGTACCTAAAATAAATATGTTTGAACTTTGTTTGAACTAATGAAAATGAAGAATAAAATTTTAATACAATCAATACAACGATGAAGAACAGGCCAATAATTTTTGCATTTAAAAATATGGAATAGATACATGATTAGATGAGAGAGAAAAGAAAAGATGAAATGTAATTACAGAAAAAATTCAGCTATGAAGAACAAACCTATTGTTTGCAAAAAAGTCTACGCAATATGTTTTTTTATTGGATAGTAAGTGCGTTTTAATTAAAAAATTTTAGATTCAATCTTTATAGCTATACTACGTTTATTTTTTACATTTAAAATATAGAAATAAACATTGGAGAGAAAAAGACAAAAGATAATAATATAAAAGACAGACTTTTGATGTCGGCTTTAGTTCTATGACTGCCACTAGAGGCGCTGTGGGCAAAAATCTGGTTCTGATATTTCTTTCGTTGTGAATAAATGAAGCAGTCCACGTGAAGCGTTTGCACGTGTTGGTTTGTAGCGAAGTGAAAAAGAAACATTAATCGTAAGAAATCGGTTCATTATTTTCAATCGCAAGAAAATAATTGACTGTGATTGTACGATTAAAATTCTGCGCACAAGAGGAAATATATTAGGAAGAAAAATAAATATTAAA